TTGGGACGACGCAGAGGAACTCTTCATGTATCGCCATCAACGAAGGCTGTCCGATCCCAGCGCGAACTTGAACAACTTCGTGCGCGGCGGTTGGAGAACGAAACCAGATACGGTGGCTACTAAGGCGCGTTCGGAAAATGAGGGCCTCGACTCCATGGCGAACGGTCTCAGCGAGATCGAGGCTGGTGATGTTCGAGACGGTAATTATCAGCGATGAATAATATAGACGAAATCGAGAACAGATTTTGCTACTCTTACTAGATTTTTAGTTCTACACTCTTAGACCGGTATTCATATCCTGCATTTAACACTAAATATAGATTTTTGCAAGCCGACCGCTCAAAAAATTCAGACGATATTTGTTTATAGTATTATAATCATAGGCGTATCCAGATGAAAATTTGAAAAATTCAAACTCCTCCAAATTTTTTTATTTTTTTATTTTTAATGAAAAAAATACAATTTTACTTTTGACTTTGTGTAAATTTTTTGTTGTCATATAATATTATAATATAAATATGTTTTTTTTTCTCGTTACGACTATAATAATTTTTATTTTTATTTAATTAAAACTTTAACAAAATGTATATGATAAATATATACAGAAAATTTTCGCAAGGTTTTCAAGCTAAAAAACAGAATATATGCTAGAATATATGCTATTAATGAGTACTCCATTCGATCAAACATATAACTCTCGGCCAAAATTGATTATATGATAACAAAATTGATACACCTCCTTTCCCTCTCAAAAGTCTGGGTACATCCATGAGTATAACGTAGCATTAAATGTATGGGATATGAATACATACAGCGTTTAGTATCTTTCTCTTCTCGATGTATTTCGTTCGCATCCACTCTCGGTCTGTGCATGCTCTTGTGTTGTATCTGTGTAATGCACAATTGTCTTGATGTTATCAGGCAGACGCCTCCTGCTCTCGGCAACACACTTCTTCTCAATGCTGGCACTATAGACTCGAAGCTGATAGATCTAAATACTTTCAAAGGTGTGAATCAAAACTGCATTAAAGCGTGATAGAAAATGGCCGCATGTATACGTTAAAAGAGATTTTTCTATTGTGCGTTATTGCTCCAGTAGTTCTCGACATTTATTTTTTTTTAACGGAACAATTTAATGCACTATAGAAAGAAAATCTCTTACTTGAAACAGTCTCGTTCAATATCTTGACTTGGACCGATCGGTGTTCACATGAAGTTAGTAATCTTTTAGGCAAACTTAGTGTAGCACTAGCACAGTGTTAAGAGTAGACGAAATAGCGAGAGAGATATAGAAATACAAGAGAAAAGAACAGATTCAGTTCTATCTTCACCGACACCACGAATCATCACCAATAACTATCACCACGACCACTACCACCACTACTACTATTATCACTACACTGTAACTTCCGGTTCAAACGCATCTATTGCGAAAGATGATAGAAAACTAATGAACGAACAAATGAAAAAATATTTCTAATCACTCGCACGTGCCATGCCGGCTCTTTCCTTTGTAGCCGATGTACAGGATAGCAGCTGGGGCGGCCGGGGCTCACCAGGAAACCGCAGGAGACCCCGATCGTTACGTCGACGAAGATCACCATTGGCTCAGCAACAACATCCCGTCCACAACAAGCAACGACAACATAATGCCCGGGAACGATCCGGAATGAATGAGAACTCGCCGAAGGAGACGATTTATCGCGAGACACACGGTGAGTGTGCTCGTTCGCGCTGAAACGATCAGTCCGATCAGTCTCTCTTGTCTCTGCTCTTGCCGACGCTCTCGCTTCTTGTGTGACTAGTAGAAACTCTGTGTTTAGCTCCTTTGCGAATTACAGGTCATCGTGTCCTTGAAACAACCTTTGATAAAAATATATGTTACTATGAACAAAGAGGTTTTTCTAAATATTTTTGTTTTGTCACTTGATTGAACTAAAGCCTTAATAATGAATAAAATGTTCAAGTTGCACCGAAAAAGGAGTAAATGGTTTTTAGATAAATGCGGAGAAAAAGAGAGAAACAAAGCGCGAAAAGAGACCGGGAGCATGATCGTTTGTAGTCGCGACACGGGTGCAATCGCCGTCTAAATGACGACGTGGTTCTCGCGGCAGGTTTCCACACTCACCAGCAGAACAATCATCAGCAGAATCACCAGCACCAACACATAGAGGTGGGCAGCGAGATCTTAGTGCCGGCCGGCCGGTGCCTGACGGACGACAACGTCCGACAAAAGTTAGACTCGGGCGCGATATTGGTGCACGGCAAGGAGGAACTGCCGCTGGGTTATGACGTGGCTACCGCTACGGAGGACAATAACCGGAAACGACGTCCATACAGCGCTGGACACCTGTTCAATCATCATAATGGTTTAGAGAACGACGACGAGGAACACCGGCGGCTCAGCGATGACGAGCTACTCAGGGTAAGACGGTCTGACAGCCGTCGCCGTCTGCGTAGCGCTGGTTCCGATCACGAGGACTACGCCTACGGACAGAATAAAAATAAGAACGACGAAATCAGAGACAAAAACGCGAACGCTCATCATGTGACGCGCATCAACGGCGAGGTCGTGTCGACACGTCGACAGAGCGCCACATTACCCCGAAGTCGACGTCGAAGGGCGCTCTCAGGCAGCTTCGCGGGTAACCCCTTACCCCCTCATCGAGTCACGCCGGACGGCACCGCGATCTACTACTGGTGCGAGCTCCCGCGCCGCCCCGGCTCACAGGGTAAATTTTTCCTACCCTTCCTGTGCCCTCACCCTAACATACCTCTCTATCCCTTTGCCTTCAATGAACGAGCAATCCACTGATCATCATTTCTGTTGTATTGAATCGTTGTGCGTAATGTAGACGTGTGCTACCTGAACCCAAGTATTCGTTTCAATGATTGTGTTTATGGGATGGTGAAACAGCAACGACTGTGATTGCACGCGATGCGACGGAGGGTGATAATGATGGTGGTGATTTGCAAAGAGTTTGGTTGGGAAGTGACTTTTTCAATCATTTTCGAATGCTTGTAATGATTTTTGATCACGAATTTCACCTCCGATAATAAGCACGGTCATCAAAAGTAGGTAGATATAGTTAATTCATTTTGTAAACGTAATATTAATTCTATTTTTCAATATTCGCTTTCTGTAAGAATTCATGAAACATCTAGGTACTAATTTTTCTTAAAATAAACGACAAACTGTTGTGTGTGATTCATTTTCAGCGAATGTTCAACGTCTCTGTGTGTAACTTGCATAATGTGATTTTTATACATTAAAAAACTATTTTCAATGAGGTTTATCATTATACATTTTTCGGAGTAAAAGCGAAAATTGATGTATCCTGATATTCCTTACTAAATGTTTTCTAACAAAAACACAGTATAATACAATGAATTATTATATTCTTGTTGTTTGCTAGTTAAACAAGAATGAAATTATTTACTGTGTCATACTATGTCCTTGCTGGAAAACGCCCTCTATTTGCTCTCTCTATCTTGCGCATCTGTAATTCTTATGCATAATCTGCAACATCATATACATATACTTGACATGTTCATCTTTTCCACTGTGGCTCGTAACAACCTAATCAAAGGATGCATTTAATCTCCTACGATTTTAAGCTTGTGTCTGTTTCATTATTCGAATGAATATCTATCCTGTACTCAAACAACCGTCCTGTTGTTGCAGGACTTGAAATATGTTACCTTTGAGTTGGATTGTAATTAATAATATTTCTTTCCTTTCAGAATTGGATGACGGAGCGTATAATCCACTTTGGACGATGAGAGGTTTTACCCAAACCTTCCATTTCTGGAAAGAGACGAAGCGAGCGCAGTCCGTACCTTTGAACGCTTTTTTAACGTACATTACGTTACCGTGGTGGAGCATAGCGAAAGGTAAACCAAATCAAATTACATAAATTAAATTTTTATTTTTTAATATCTGTATGGAATGTTTGAAAGTTTCTTGGCCACGCTATTATATAAAATCTTTTTCATTTCTATTAATAAAACACAATTGATATAATCTGGAACATTAAATTAATTTTGTCTTATCGCAATTCAAATATAATATAAACCATTCAATCTTTTTCCTTCAGCCGTGATAATTTCTGTTACAGATATTCTGGATCACCGAGAAGGACCTATCTTAACATTTTAGTTGACAGTACATTCTAATTTTATTTTTCAATATTTTCCTTTTTTTTACTTTGTACGTATATCGATAATTGGCCCAAGGAATATAACAATGTATAGTTTACATAATAAATCAAATATTATTTACAAATTTGAGTTATATTGCAAAGCAATGTGACAAACATTCTGTGATTCCCTTTTGATTAATCAAATTTTACAACATGTCATTTTATTCTATCATGTCATCTTTATACAAATATAAAAATATAAGGTAACATGAGATAAAGAAATTTCTTTATATGAAATTTAAATTTTGATAAGAAACAAATAAAAAAGATAAAAAAATAAAAAGAAATAGATTTAAAAAGTAGATTCAAAAGACAAAAAAAGAAAAGAAAATTATAATTTTAAATATCTCTGCGAATTAAAATCATTTTAATTCGCAGAGATATTAAAATTGCGTTTTTTCAGCTTTACGCTTTGTAATCTCTTATACATTAATATCAAATTTGATATAATAATGAGTAACATAAATTGAATAAAATTAGTTCAACAAATGCATATGTATTTTAGATTACTGTGCAATCAGTAATAAATCTATAATAGTCAGGCAGGATATATCTAGTCAGGCAGAATACATCAGGCATATTTAATAATCAGACAGGAAATCGTTCTGCATAGCGGAATTTCCTTCTCTATATTTTGCAAAGTCAATAAACATTTTGCGACCAAGATTTAAAACCGCACGTCGTCACTTCATCTTGTGGCCGTTATATATAAATAAATGAAGAAGAAATTTTGTAATGCTCATTATCTAATGATACGCCGCATTAGAAGCAGTTTATTTGCGCATATTATATGTTAGCATGAAATTTCTTACAATAGTGTGTGCTTTAGTGATTACATGGATTTATGCCGAGAGCATGCAATTCACCGACTATGAATTACGCCCGCACGAAAGGATGGCGATAGGTATTAGTTTGTAAAGTTTCTTTGAACTACTAAAATATTTTTTTATATAAAAGCTTCTAAAATTTATTCCCCTCAACAGTAATTGCATCTTATTGATAGTTTCAGACTATTATAACCAATACTTTCCGAAATTATATTTTTAATAATATCTCTTAAATAATGCTATATGAAAGAAAGTTTATTTGCCATAAGCAAAAACTATAAAATACGTTTTATTCGCATATATATTTTCGCATAATCAATATTGCAACTGATTAAATTTATGTAAAAGATTTCTCTTCTATCTTCAATCTCATGTTATCTTTTAATTTTACTATTTATTATTACAATCTTATATGTGATAATGCGTGATTGAAATAGATTCTATTTGTATTTTTGTTCTAAAGAATATTGTTTTCTTCATCGATCTTATTTCTCATGTCATCTTGCATAATATATAAACACGCACATTACTTTTGAGTATAAAATTATTTTTCCCAAGAACAGATTGATAAAATTTATTTTATATCTTTTATATTTTTTTTATAAAAGAAATTATTCTTTATTGTATCTACTTTGCAAAATAT